CATATTAAAAAGCAGAGACATTATTTTACCAACAAAGTTCTGTATAGTCAAAGCTATGGTTTTTCCAGTAGTCATGTATGGATGTGAGAGGTGGACCACAAAAAAAGCTGAGCATCGAAGAACTGATGCTTTTGAACTGTGGTGTTGGAGAATACTCTTGAGAGTCCTTTGGACAGCCAGGAGATCCAACTAGTCCATCCTAAAGGAGATCAGTCCTGATTATTCATTGGAAGGACTAGATACTGAAGCTGAAGCTCCAATACTTCGGCCACCTAAAGCAAAGAACTGACTCATTGGAAACGACCCTGATGCTTGAAAAGACTGAAGGCAGGAGGAGAAGGGCACAACAGAAGATGAGATGGTTGAATGGCATCACCGACTTGATGGACATGAGTTTGAGCAAGCTGCAGGAGTTGGTGATGGACAGGGAAGTCTGGCATGCTACAGTCCCTGGGGTCACAAAAAGTCGGACATGACTGAGCAACTGAACTGGAGTATATTTCACCCAATTCAGAGCAGCTACTATGTATGGTTTTGACTCAATTTCTAAGAACTTGCAGAGAAAAATGAATTGGGCTTATTATCTTTTGGCCTATTATTTTGGCAAAGATTTTATCTGTTTTTCAACTCCCAAGTGCAGAAAACTAATGTACAAATTCCATTGTTACAAAACAATATACCAGAAGTCTTCATTCTCTTATTGTTTTCTAGGGAGGAGGAAACTGTATTTCAAGCACAATCTTAAAACATGCATATGCTGACACTATCCTACTCTGAGGCTTTATTTTTTAAAAAATACTCACTAGGAACTCTGTGATCATCTTTAGTAAGTCTATAAAGCAAATATGTGCTGTTATGAGGATACTGAAATAGCAGAAGCACTAATCCAAGAAAAATAAAAATTTAAAAATTATCAAACCCTCACAAAAACAGAAGCTCTAACATTTAACCACCTTAAATATCTGTGATATACCTAATTTATGATAAAAAAATTTTCAATGTTAAACTTTTATATTTAACTTCTGAAGCAAAGAAGGCATATGAAAAGGTTCTAAGATCTAAGGAATAGGAGAATGAAGGGGGTAGATTTTAGTATGTATCATCAGTTTTTTTGTACTTTTTTAATTGCATGGGTCATTTTCATCAATTCAAAGAAAGAGCAAACTCCTCCACAACTAAGAAATACTATAAATTTCTTATCTATGAGCCTTTTCGAGAAGGAAATGGCAACCCACTCCAGTATTCTTACCTGGAAAAAATCCCATGGACAGAAAAAGCCTTGCAGTCTACAGCCCACAGGCTCGCAGAGTCAGACACGACTGAGAGACTTCACTATCACTGACACCATGAGCCTTTAAATATTTACCAGGGCAAGCAAGCAAGAAAACACATGCACACACACACAAATAATACTATAAAAAACAAAAATGAAGTTTCATAGTTAGATAACTGTTCCCTACTGTCACAGAGATAAAACTACTGAGCTAATAATACTGTTTTAAATGTCTGAGGTCTTCTGTGGCTGAGATCAGTTTGACAATACAAATTTATAAGACGGAGTTTCATACTGTGTTCCAGTTGATCATTACTAGAACTTAGGTCTGCAATACAGTACACATACGCACCCTTGAAACAAGTTTTTACACAATTATATCATGTGATACATTCATGACATTTCCTTTTCTGTTCTTTTCTGCTTCATTTAATTTGTCAGGGGGGGTGGTAAGAAGAACAGCCACTTATTAAATTGATTGCAAAATGGGCTGCCATTGGCAGTTTGAAAACTATTGATCTAAGAGTTGATTGATTAACACCAGAATACATGCCAAGGGACAGTATACCAGATTACTTGATAAAACAGGCTTAGTTAATGCCACTCAAAAGCTGTGGCTACTATGTTTCCCTTTTCTTCCTACTCCTCAGATAGTCTCCTATACTAAACTTCACTTGCATATCACTAGGAGCCACAGACTGGAATCTATCCTGGTCACTTTTCCTCAGCAAGGCAAAACAATATAAAACTAATACCACTGCTGAGGGACATCTATTACTATGGGAAGTATACACTTAGTGGAACTAAAATGATCCAGTCAACATACACATAAATGTGCATATCTTGTTTATTTCACAGAGTGAAGTAAGCCAGAAAGATAAAGACCAATACAGTATACTAACGCATATATATGGAATTTAAAAAGGTGGTAACGATAACCGTATATGCAAAACAGAAAAAGAGACACAGATGTACAGAACAGACTTTTAGACTCTGTGGGAGAAGGCGAGGGTGGGATGTTCTGACAGAACAGCATTGAAACAAGTATACTATCAAGGGTGAAACAGATCACCAGCCCAGGTTGGATGCATGAGACAAGTGCTCAGGGCTGGTGCACAGGGAAGACCCAGAGGGATGGGATGCGGAGGGAGGCGGGAGTGGGGATCGGGATGGGGAACACATGTAAATCCATGGCTGATTCATGTCAATGTATGGCAAAAATCACTACAATACTGTAAAGGTAATTAGCCTCCAACTAATAAAAATACCTGGAAAAAAAAAAGTGAAACAAGTTTGTTTCAACATACTCCTTTTTATATTCACTGCACTGATTTTCTTTTCTATTACATGTCTTAATGCTGATCATAACCCACTAAATTGAGTTCTTGGCGCACTAATGAATAGGTAGAAACCTGTAATCTGAAAATCACAGCTTCAGAGAACACACACATCAACCTAGCAGGATAAGAGAACCACAGGTAAGTTACCAGTCTCGAATGGCCACCTTCTTTCCCCGATGAGAAAAAACTCAAAAAACCGAAAACATTAGTCAAAGAGTGATTGTGTATTTAACTCCAGGAGGACCATACAAGAAGGTATACGGTTCAGGAAAAGAAAAAATGTGATAGAATTACACCCCCACAAAAAGGAGCTCCTGATACAGCATTTAATAATCATCACCACTGTTACTCTAACACTGGCTTCTCGCATGCTCACTCCTGCACTAAATGCATATATAGTTTATCTATATAAGTGGTGTGTGTTAAGGTATGTATATGTGTGTATATACACAAAATGCAATATATAAATTATATAAGTATATACTTATGGTATTGTATTTTTAATACATAAATTTATATTTTTTTCCAAGTCATTCTTACAACCTGTCAAAACAACAAAGTAGTGCCAGAGCTGAAACCCAGGTTGGCGGGCTGCAGAATCTAAGCTCTTAACCACTAAGGTATAAGCTCTTCCAAAAGAAAAGGAGTACCCAGCTCTGGCTGTGCATTAAGAATCCTCTGTGGCGTTAAAAAGAAACAGACGGATGCCCAAGAGCATCTAAAAGGAGATACGAAAGGAGACTTTTTTAAGCTGAAGTGGCAAATATTACAGAGAAATATATTTTGTAGACAACGTATCAATACCATCTCCAACCCATTATGTCAGAAAAGATCTTTTTCGGAGAGTAGATATTGCCATATTGGACATAAAACACCTGTTGAATTAATCGACAGTTGGCTTCACCCTGAAATTTGATTCACTATCATTATAGGCTAGAATTTAATATAAAGTCGTTTTGTCTTAGATTTAACAACTAAATTCCACTGATAATTTAACTGCTGATGCATCAAAAGGTTCTCAATATAAGGTAGCCTAAATGATAAAAATTATAGGCTGTACCACTGTATTTCTATTACACTTTTATATCCATGATTTAAACCTCTATTTTCCCAACATATTTTCCTTCATTACCTAAAAGATAAAGAATTTTGAACCCAACGTAACATAAATAAATTCAGCATTCTCCCTGGGTTGATTCACTTCCACCATCTTTAAGAAAACATTTACTAACAAGCACATAGTACACAATTAGAAGGTTTCCAAGGTTTCAAATAATTAAGAAATAGTTTTGACTACATCACTCAAATAAAATGTTATGAAGATAAAAATCTTAAAGATTTTTGATGGTTAAGAAGGTAATATGAAGCCTAAAATTACCACTATTAGCAACCATAAGTAACAGTGGGATTACATACCTCAAGCACATGAAAGATTAACTGTATTCTTATGGTGGTGAAGAGAGAACAATCACACTATTAATGAAGAATCACTCACTTTCCTCTCAGTAAAAATTTTTTGTAAAAGACAAAAACAGCACAAACTACAAATGGTCCACATAAAAATTATTCCGTTTGGTCAAATTAATACCCTAACTGAAGAACTGCATCCAATTATTTCCTATTCAGGCTACCATGAAATGACAGCACTGCAGAGGAACTAGCCTATGATGTAAATCATAAAGATAATTACAGACTAACATGTGAATAATCCCCAAACTATTTCACGATAACCCTATATGCAAAACAGAAAAAGAGACTCAGATGTATAGAACAGACTTGTGGACTCTGGGAGAAGGCGAGGGTGGGATGTTTCAAGAGAACAGCATCGAAACATGTATATTATCTAGGGTGAAACAGATCACCAGCCCAGGTTGGGTGCATGAGACAAGTGCTCGGGCCTGGTGCACTGGGAAGACCCAGAGGGATCGGGTGGAGAGGGAGGTGGGAGGGGGGACCGGGATGGGAATACATGTAAATCCATGGCTAATTCATTTCAATGTATGACAAAAACTACTGTAATGATGTAAAGTAATTAGCCTGAAAAAAAAAAAAAGTTCAAAAAAAAAAAAAAGCTTCAAATCACAAAATCACACATAAAAAAAAAAAAAGAAATTATAGCCCATTACGATTAAATTTTAGCAAAAAATTACTACTCCAGTGTCTCCTATAACCGTATCTCAAAAAGGGGGGGGGAGAGGGAACTCATTCAACAAGCTTGGGATATACAGTTATTTTTATAAACAAACAATACTTTTGTCATAATCCATAACCACATCTGCAATCTAAGTATTAAAATATTTTAAAATACATATTAATTAAATATAGAATCATTAGTGTTTGTTCTACCCATGACCTTGAGGGATCACTGGAAGATTTCTAAAGCATACCTTTTAATCCACGCCATGGTACTTCAAGAACATGTTAAGGTAAGCCACAGGCTGGAACACTTCGATGCACCTCAAAACACCTCAGCCAGTATATCTGTATCATTCTCCTTTCCTTTTGAGATCAAAATGTTTCCGAAGAACTATAATGCTTCCATTTGAATGACAGTTTCATAATTTCAATGACTTAAAAACAAACAAACAAAAAAAGGACTTAAGTGTTGGTATGTTAAGCCACTAGTGCACTGTGTTAACTGCTGCCACAACTAAGAAAAGCAAGCCAGCTGCTGCTACTGCTATGTAGCACTGTCATTTTTAACGTGACCCTCATGTGAGCGAGGGACAGTACTTGCTTAAGTGGTCACAGTGACAGCCCTTGCTTTTCTGCACGCATGGGCACTTCCGCTTCAGTCGTGCTTGACTTTCTGCGACCCTATGGACTGCAGCCCGCCAGGCTCCTGTCCATGGGACTCTCCAGGCAAGAATACTGGAGTGGGTTGCCATGCCCTTTCCAGGGGATCTTCCTGACTCTGGGATCGAACCCACGTCTCTGCTACATTGGCAGGTAGGTTCTTTACCACTAGCTTGCTTTACTGGGATTTACCCAAAGCCCGCAAATCTCTTTACCCCAACTGATTCTTCAGTTTTCTTCTCAAAGAATTAAAATAACCTAAAAGACAGGCCTGGAACACTTGGTAGATGCCAGGTTCTCCTCTGACCAACTATTCTTTTTAGAAGAAGAGCTGGAAATTACCACACACCTGCATAAAATGGAATTCGTTAATAGAAACAACAGGAATGCCCTCAAATGACACTCCTTCCTGATGCTAATTATTACTGAATCATTTTAATTCCACGGAAGTCATTAAAGTGTAAAAAGTTTCTGTTTCTAAAGTTTACTTCTATGAAGAGCATGCAGATAAATGAATAGATCAAAAGCTACTGTCAGGTTTTAGTGCTTCTGTGATTGCCTTGGCAGGTTACCTGATTCCTCCCTTCCTCTTCACCCCACTCCACCTTTCTTACACATGAAGACATTAAAAATATTTCATTATTTAAATGATACAGTAAGAAGTCTATGTATCATATTTTAAAACTAAAAATTCACTGAACTTTTGCTTCAAGCTTGGCACTCTATAGTTATAAGAAGAATGAACACTCAAAATACACAAAAGAAGTAAAAGAAGCAACACACACATCTATGTCATAAAGCAATTAACATTGCTTTAGGATGACTGATCAGGAAACTTTTAATAAAAGCAAGCCATAAAAAGAGCTTCCAAGGGAAGGAGGTAGCTGGGAGAGGTTCGCTATACTCTGGGTTTGTGGAACAGCTTGGGGACAGGTTAACAGACACACAAGGAATGTAAGATGACAAAAGTTTCCCAGCTAGAGCTAAAAAGCACATGCTAAGGAAAAACAGAAATTATTTCCTGCTTAAAAGGGTAGATTCAACAGATGAATATCAGAAATATTCCTGAGATTTAGGTTTATTGCAGGTTGTAGGGAATACAGATTACAAAATACAGGTAACTCTTTGGAATGCTAGTAATAGTGGCATAACTGAATGCAGAAAAGAATTCTACCAGGGCAGGTGGGAAAATAATAATGAACAACAGAAACAAGGGACCTGGTCCACTGAATCACTGCAGCCACAATCATCTTTTAAACTGATCACTTCCCTCCTCTAGCTTAAAACCTTTCAAAGCCTCTATATATATTACAACCTCCTGGAAGGAAATCCACATTGTTTCCTACACTCTGTCCCTCCAAATAAACATATCCTATATGTAACTATTAGGTTAATGTTCCTGAAGTACGGTTCCTCTCTTACACAGGAATAATATGAACCATTGAGAACTAAGGCAGGCTTTAAATACATTAGATAATAAAGAATAAAAGCCCAATGTTTACTCATTATCTCATTATCCCATTTTATAGGGGAGAAAACTGACACTGTGTGGTCAAGTGATTGACCCAAGAAAACACACAATAAGAGAAAAGAACTAGGACTTAAATCTAGATCCTCTAGCTGGAATTTCAACACTTTTTCTACACAATACTGTTGTAAACATTATTGGAGAAAAGGCGAGGTACTGGGGCTAACGCTGTTGATAATATGCCAGGAACTAAGCTAGGGACATGTGTGTGTGCATGTGCTAACTCACTCTATTGACATCTCACTCTGTGCCACTCTATGTACTGTCACCTGCCAGGCTTCTCTGTCCTGGGATTCTCCAGATAAGAATACTGGAGTGGGTTTGCCGCGCCCTCCTCCAGGGGATCTTCCCAACCCAGGGATCAAACCCACATCTCTTATATCTCCTGCATTGGGAGGCAGGCTCTTTACCCGTCTCAACACCTAAGAAGCCTCATGCTAGGAATCTAATGGTATTTTATTTCATCCTGATCTAAGACTGACTAGTTGCCTTCTCTTACAGGTGAGAAGACTGAGGCTCCTCGAGATTTGAGCACTAATTTATTCAACATAATGCATCAGAGACTGAAAGTAGTTGGTCTAACATTCCCTCTCATGTGCCCAACTCTAAAACCCACACTCATGTTGCTACACTAATCTATCTCCCAGAAGCAATCAGAAGAAATCAAGTCCAACACTGAAGCTTTATTCTTCAACTTGGCTAATATAACAATAATCTAATTTTATAAATTCATCTTCATCAAAATGTAAGCAGTGCATATATATAGATTTATCTATAATTTAGTAAGAGACTATGCACATTCGCTAAGGTCACTAAGAAGGATTAGAATCGAGTTCATTTGATTCCTACAAGTGAGATCCAGGTTGTTAATGAACTTATCACACAAAAGATCTTTTAAAGTTGACTTGTAAATCGTAGCAGTCATCAAAATAAACTTTGGTTGACAAAACAAAACTAAGCATGAAACTTACTTCCCTTATGAAGCTGTGCTGCCATGCTTCCCCTTGGACTGCCACCAGTCAGTCTCATGGACAGTAAACCAGGTTCTAGCTGAGGATAGTCGGTCAAATATCAGTTAAACAGAAAACAGGACCTACTTACAGCACAGAGAACCTCTATTCAATACTCTGTAATAACCTAAATGGCAAAAGAATCTGAAATACAGATATATGTATATGTATACGGGGCTTCCCCGATGGCCACACAGGAGACCCAGGTTCCATCCCTGGGCTGGTAAGATCCCCTGGAGAAGGAAATGGCAACCCCCTCCAGTATTCTTGCCTGGAAAATCTCATGAACAGAGGGACCCCGCAAGCTACGGTCCATAGGGTCCCAGAGTCGAACACAAGCGAGCACACATGCACTGCATATGTATAATCAAATATTCTGCTGTACATCCGAAACTAGCACAGCAGTGTAAATCAACTGTACTCCAACATAAAATAAAAACTAAAAATACTACAAAGACTTTATCTGTCACATACTGTTTTACAGCATCCCAAATTTTATTACTCTCAAACCATTAGAAATCTCAACAGAAAACTTTTAAAAGATCATCAAACGGCATTACAGAAATTTGTCAGCTTTTAAAATATACCCAGGTAGACTTACTCTAGGAGAAACTTGAGTTTGGAGACTTCCCTGGGTGGTCCCGTGGTTAAGAATCCACCTTGCAATGCAGGGACATGGGCTCAATCCCTGGTTGGAGAACTAAGATTCCACATGCCAAGCAACAACTAAGCCCATGAGCCACAACTGAGAGCCAACACAGTCAAATAAATAAATTGAATTAAAATTTGAAGATTAAAAAAAAAGAAACTTGAGTTTTGTTGAGGGAAGAACACAATATTAAGAGGTACTAAAGAAAAAAGGTGCTGGGTTTGGTTTAATTGAACATATGCAACAGCTCCTCTCTGATCCAGTTTCTGGTCTCCTCCAGACAACATTTGCTCTAGCCACACTGGATATTTGCACACTTTGCAGAACATACCATGGTGCTTCCGATCTCTGGACCTTTGCCCCACCCTTCCATACCCACAAACTGCAGGAGTAGTGGGCAAAATAGAATTTAACGTCACATGGTATTTAAAAGGAAAAGAATAAAGGGGAGGTGAGATAAGTGAGACTACAAGTTAAAAAACTTTTTAATGTTTTCAGTGCCTACAATAGATGACATACTACATGCTGAGCTAAGTTAGTGTTTTTACATAAATTCTCACAGGCTATTATATATAAGAAATTTTTAAGAAGAAAAGTTCTAAATTCTGAGTTGATAATGCAATGTGTTTTTAATTAGATACCATAATTTAGGAAATGTGTTCTACAGAACTTTAATTTCAAATGAGTTGTCAACCAAGTACTTAGAAACAGCCCTGTTAAATAATGACAGCAAAGTAACCTCTGCTATTATCTAAAGTATGAAAATCATGTATTCTAGGTATTTAAGTTCTAAGCTCCTTTTTGCCAGTGCTAATAAAGGTTTCAATTCTAAAGCTAAATCTGGTTTGAGCAACTTTCAAAGAATCTTTCCAAGAATGATAAACTATCCAATTCCCATCTTGATAGTAAAACTGTAACTCCTTTTCCAATTAAACACTGGAGGCCAGGGGACTTCAAGCACCTATAGCTAAGAGGTTAAACTCAAGATCAATGAGACCCACTAACTAAAAGACATTTGAGATCTAGCAATTCTGGAAGATGCAATATTCAGCTAATTTTACTTTTCAGGAGTTCCCATATGGGGAAGCTCTTTTCTCAAAACGTATATCCTAATTTTCAGCAACATCATTAACTATCTAAGTGGCTGCTGCTGCTGCTCTTAAAGTGACAAACACCCAGGGGTCAACTAGAACATGGTTGAATTTTTTGCTAGAAATCTAGATGACACAGTATTTATATTATATTTATATAATATAAAACACACATGCATACATACACACACACAACTATCCTTTTTCAAATAGATCAGTGTTAGCAAGTTGTTACCTGTCTAAGCTAGGAGGGTGGGGAAAGTGAACAGGGAGATGGAAGAACAGTACATGTTCAAGTGCTGAGTAAAGGACATTAGGAAGGAAAACTAGTGATACAGTAAATCAGCTCATAAAAACTACTAGACGTTTACTCAAAACAAGCAAATACAGCCATCAACAGAAGCTTCTTTCTCTTCCAGGATATGAAAGGAAACTAAGAAAGAAAAGTCTGAACCAAATTTACCTCTACTTTCTTTAAAGAATATACTGAACAAAA